AAAGATAGAAAAAAGGGTTGCTGCCAGCTATAGTATAACTAAAAGAAAATGTCCCCTCAAGCAACATGTGTGGTTTAGTAGATGTGGTTTGCAGATCTAACCTACGTGAAATTATTTGCATGAAGTGGTAATCTTAGAACTAAATCACAAATCACACCCTTAAAATGTAACGGGTGTTAACAGCGAAATCAAAGTCTTTAAATATCAGATGTTTGTTAGTAGTCCACATACCAGTTTCAACTTTTTTGTACATGTTTCTTTCAACCAATCAGCTCAAGGGAAAGAAAGGCCTGACCACCAATGGGTTCGCTGCAAAGCAGAAGTTGGATAAGAACCAGCCCAAAAAGGCCAATGGAATCAGCAGCACTGTTCCAGTGAAACGCAACAACTCTAGTAAGAGATTGTAACACATAAAAGCACATCTGATAATCTCAAAATGAGTCTTTAAATTTTTTTTTTTTAAGTCTGCATCCATTATCCTAGCTATTACACCACTAATTTATTTCAAGGAAAAAGAAGCCACACAGATTTGTGGAGAATGCCGGTATGTGGAAATTGCAGTGCTGTTAGACAGCAGTGGATCTGTTGACATGCTCCTTTATAAACTCAATCACCCCAAATTCCATTTCAGACAGGCAGTCAGTCAGTCACAAACATCCTAATCATCCAGTGGCCATTTACGTGGACTTGCAAATATTTGGATGTGGTATACTGTATATTCTGTCTGCCTTTTAATCTGCGTTTGTGGTCTCAGAGGCCTTTAATGCGATGAAAAGACTGAATCCAAAAGTTAAAAATGGAAAGATTTTCTGACGATGGTTTACTTTGATTATAATGCATCATTAACCTTCACAGGTGTGGATCAGTATAAGTACGGGAAAAACAGAGTGGAGGCAGATGCCAAGAAACTCCAAGCGAAAGAGGAGGAGCTGATGAAGAGGAAGCAGGAAATTCGAAACCGCCTGACCCAGCTGAAAAAAGACAGGAAGGACCTCCGCACTGCTATAGAGAACAACACAGGTGAGGATGTCAACGGGATTCAAGTTTGATTGAATCTGTATGTGTCAATGACAAATAAGAAAAAAGAAATAGCATTAAAAGGTTTGAGGTAATAAATACTTACATTAAGCAAGAATAAATTGATCAAATTGTGACAGGACATTTATAATGTTACTAAAGTTTTCTATTTCAAATTATGTTTTTCAAGCTTTCTATTCATTAAAGGATCCTGAAAAATGACAGTTATAACCTCTCCCGGTGTTTTTTTCATCCAGGTAAGCGCTCTCAGGCATCTTTGACAGAGAGACTTAAGAAAGTGGAGGATGAATGCAAACTAAAAGAGGAAGAACGAGTCAATCTGGAACTGGAGCTGACGGAGGTGAAGGAGAGTCTGAAGAAAGCCTTGAACGGAGGCGTCACCCTGGGCCTGACCATTGAACCCAAAATGGGCAGCTCCAGCCCACAGGTCTGGAAAAACAGCAACTATTTCTCTAACATAGACATGATGTAATACTAACTGTAGGGTTGTGTCACTTTCATTTTTAAGTGATTAAAGAAAAGCAGGTATCAAAATGTGTCTCGTTTGTTTTTAGTCTCCAGTGCTAATGAGGCGAACGGTTGACAACTCACCCATTTCCAGTTGTGACACCAGTGACACTGAGACCTGCTCTCTACCAGTCAACAGTGCATCTCTGCTGCGGCGTCAGACACAACAGAAAGCCTCACCTGTGCGAGGACACGTCCTCAGGAAAGCCAAGGTCAGTAACCACATGACACTTATTTTCTTCATCACACTAGATATTAATAGCAGTTAACATATGCTGGGTCATATGTAAAAGCATGATCCTAAAGTTGCATTTACTTTAAGATGTTTACACTACAGTGCATATTTTCCCCTGTGTTCATTCTGTTCTTTTTTTTTTTGCAGGAATGGGAGATGAAGTCTGGCACATAAGTTCTTTTCCACTAACTTTTAATTTTCGCTGTATCTATTTATTTTTGTCCATATATGAGTGATGTTGAAATTGAATTGACTGAACCATAGACACACTATTTTCCAGAATTAATTCTGGAAGACCTTGACTGAATCTGGTGCCCGGTGCTGTTTATCATTATAGCACCATCCCTGGATCATGATCTGACTATAAAGTGACTTACAAATGAGGAAAACTCAAGCAATTTGTCATATAGAGGCCAACAGTAATTTATATACACTACCGTTCAATATACCATTTTGGGGTCAGTATAATTTTTTTTAGGAATTGATACTTTTATTCAGCAAGGATGCATGAAAGTGACAGCAAAGACAAAATATTTATTTCAGATTAATGCTGTTCTTTTGAACTTTGTTCATTAAGGAATCCTGAAAAAAATGTAGCATGGTTTCCACAAAAATATTCAGCAGCACAACTGTTTTCAGCATTTATAATAATAACAAAAGAAGTTTCTTGAGTGTCAAATCAGCATAATAGAATGATTCCTGAAGACTGGCGTAATGGCTGCAAAATATTCCGCTTTGCCATCACTGGAATTAAAATATATTAAAACAGAAAGCAGTTATTTTAAATTGTACTAATATTTCACAATGTTACTGTTTTTCTCCATTTCTAATCAAATAAATGCAGCCTTGGTGAGCATAACAGACCCCAAATTGTTGAATGGTAGTGTAACACTAGAGGAAAGAGAATTATTATTATGATTTAATGTTATCATGAACACAGAACATTTCAGATTATGGTCCACAATTTACAATCTAAACATATTGTGCGCAAAGCTCACTGGTCTCAATCGGTAATCACTTAAAAGTCTATAAAGTCTGTTTCTTTCTTCAACAAGAAGCCATTAATGGAAGACAAAATCGTCCAAGTATTTATTTGTAAATGTTTAAATAAATATAAGCCAGTCTGTGTTTGTCTGTTGATGTTTAGTTATGTCTTTCATTGGGCTTCACACTAGTTGTAGAGAGCAGCTTCGGGATATCCGTCTTAAGATAAATGTAAATTACAGAATGTGATCATTCAAAGCTTGTTCTTTACAGAAAAAGTGTAATCTGTATGAAAGTATTTTACCAGCCTCTCCTCCTCCTCGATGTCTGGCCCATTATTTTCTATCCAGTGGTCTGGCCAAACTTTTGGCTATGGCGAGAGCAACCCATGGGGAATAGGGCAGCTCAGGCCAGGGTGTGGTCCTCTGCTGGCTGACTGCTCTGGAAACTGGGCCTGAAAGTACCGCTACACTTCCCCTCCGCTGAACACACTGCAACCACTGCACTGAAACAGCTGAAACACCAGAACACTGCAATGCATCATACACTGACAGTTATACATGTACTGTATGCTAACACAAATAACACAGTGGGCATATGTGAAGTTTCATTATAGTTAGCAGTCTTAAGCTGTGCATGTGCAGGTGTAAGAGCTTGAAAGTAATCCGTTTGCGAACAAAAGAAAAGTTCAGGCTGTAATCTGCTTTGTTTTGACCACTCAAAGTCCAGCCACCTGATGTACTGAAAATGGTGCTTTTAAGCAATGCTTAAACTCTTGGTGCTTAATTTAGACCGACTTTTGTATTAATGTTTGAGGCACATTTATAATTAACTCTTTGTTTATTGTGCAGTGAAGTTTGGCTTTTGATTTGAGGCTACACATTTTCAAGCTACGCTACACGCAGGGTGCTGTGTAGATATAAATCTTTTCTGCTTGGGTCAGAGCTTCTTTTTTTTTTTTTTTGTCCAGTCATTTTGTAAAAGTCGGCACTGGATGAATATTTGGTATCAGTATATTTGTAAAGGACAACATTAAGTCACCTTTGTCTCCAGCTCAAAGTAGATGAGATGCTTCAGTCTTTCTGCACAGCTGCATATTCTGTAGTCAAAGTGATTTACTGATTTGACAAAGTAAAATAAAACCTTTAGATTGAGTCCGCTTTCAGCCTCACTTTGCAAAAGTAAAGGAATGTGGAATGTGAAAAACTTTGCTTTAAATGTAATTTTGCTTTGAGGGTGGGAGCAAAGACACCATTGTTTGTTTTGCACCTTATGGATATTACTCTGTTTTATTTTGCTGATGACTGTTGTCAACTTGGCAACAAAAAGACTGTACATAGAAATAATTAAACTGCTTTAAAAATTGCTTGTGTGTTCCAATTTGTGTATTATTACAATGCGCGATAGACCATAACTGGCAACATTTCTTTTGTGAGACTATAATGATCCACAATCACAATGACCCTCTTATGTTTCACTCCAGCAGTTTACTATTATATTACACACTAAAAATTAACACATAAATCTAGCCAAAGATGGAAAGTTTCCTTTAAATCTTGGCTAACACATCCCACTCATAGAATTGCTAGTGTTATTAAATTCAGTGACTCACACAGAGCACTGGCGACCTCATGCGTACGAAGCTAAAAATCAGATTATTCAGATTTCTCACTTTTTAGATGGTTTTGTCACGGGGTATCTGTTACATTTCTCATCACTAGTCAAGATGGCCTAATCAGAGTTGTTTTTAAATAAAGATTTTAAAATGTATTGTATAGAAATGTCTTTGAATGGTTTCCGTTTGTGCGTCTAGCATAAAGATAAACAATTATTATACGATTATTATAAAACTCCGCTAGATGGCAGAGTCGTGTTTTTCAGCTGTTTACCACCATCGATAGATTTGACCGAAGAAGAGAGAAACGTTTGGCCCTCGAAAAACAGTTGTGCTTTTCCATTTTCTATATTTGTATTCATATCGACAGTATTTTTTGCTCATAGTGGCATATTTCGGAAAACATGAATGAGGATATTTTGACCACTCTGAAAATACTGATCATCGGAGAAAGTGGAGTGGGCAAATCCAGGTATGAGATCTAAGATACTTAAAGTTTACAGATGTCATCCGATGGAACAACAACAACAACAACAACAACAACACTGCTTATAACCAGAACTTGTCACAGCACTTACATAATGTTACTCTTTTGTTGGTTTGATTGCATCCATTGTTATCATGTGTAAGTCGCTTTGGATAAAAGCGTCTACTAAATGATTCAATGTAAATTTAAAACAATGAAAGCTAATATGATGTTCTATATGTACTAAACACATAATTTATTTCCATTAAGGTGTAGATTTCAAAGTGAAAACCCTGGCTGTGGATGGAAACAAAGCAAAGCTAGCAATCTGGGTGAGCAGTCAATCATATTTTATTCCTACATTTAGAGTGGCACAGATTTATGTTTTGCGAAGGTTAACTATTTATTATTTAATTTCCAAGGAAATCATGTCTTAGTTTGGACATGACTGTATGAGACAGATAATGCTTGTATAAACTGTTGACTGTGTTTCACTAATATAACACAAGAGAGCAGTGTTGTTCCTTCCTTTTTTCCTGAAGGCAGGCGGCTCTTTTGTAACGTCTTTATAATTCAAAATATTCATTGTTAAGTTATTTAACACTATTTCTCTTGATTTTGTTTTGTGCTTAAAGGACACAGCAGGTCAGGAACGTTTTCGAACTTTAACACCCAGTTACTACAGAGGAGCTCAGGGTGTCATTCTGGGTAAGCAAGTATAAACCGTTTTTTTACTACTATACTATTAAAAAACATGAACAAGCTGTACCGCTGTAGAAAAGTGTTTGTGTATCTAGCATGAGTATACACTGGAATAGTGTATGAAACACCAAATGTTATATTTATAGTTATATTTGTCTGATTTAGGCTAATTTGATAAGTCTATTTGTCTATCGTTTAATTTAAAATGTCGTTTTTAAATGTCTTTTTAGTGTATGATGTCACCAGGCGAGAGACGTTTGCTAAGCTGGATAACTGGTTGAATGAGCTGGATACATACTGTACAAGAAATGATCTTGTCAAAATGCTGGTGGGAAACAAAATCGATAAGGTAAGTTACCTTTAATGCACTTAATGTCTTTTTATTTTTTTTATTTTTTTTTAAGCTGTACAAGTCCAGCAGAGCCTTTGCACTCATATATTTACTTTTGTCTTTAAAACACCTGCCTGGACCCAGTTTCCAAAGCCTGACATAGACAGATATGCTCTCTGTTTGCTTTTTCAGCTTCATCTCTACACTGCTCTATACATATCTACCATCTTTGGATCCCACTTTTTCCTACTGTCAATCACTTGTTAACTCTCTTTCCTCTCTCTCGCTACATGTATCTGTCTTCAATTCAGTTCTATCAGTTCCGTCTCTGTTTCTCCACGTCCCTCTCTACAGAATAATAGAATTACCAAGGATTTTAGATTTGTGTTTTACTACTTTTATTGACTTGGACCGCCCACATAAAAATATGTTTTTTAAAAGTTTATAAATCAAACAGATTGGCACAACAAGTCTCTGCTGTACATATAAATTAGGGTAAAAAATAACTGGAATACCATAGAATAGATTAAGGCTAAGAGAAAAGGCAAATTTCTTTCTTTTGAATATAGGAATATTTTCGCCTGCAGATTCAGGGACACTTATTGTCTTGACATGTCTGTCCATCTCAGAGAAAGGAAAAAATGTTTAAAAATCCTTAGAGTGAGTCATTAGGGTGTGACTATAGATGGCTGGTTTTCTCACACAGAGAAATGGATCAAAAGAACAAATTTAGAAATAATAAATGTTCGCCAAAAAAATCTATGACACTTAACAGCGATGCCAAATGAATATTTCCATTCTCCTAGTTTAATCTGCACTATCCGATCTGGACTATTTAGTCTGTTATGTTTGTTTTAGAGAGACATCCAGGGGGTCCCAGATGTCTGGTCTTGTGTTCGTAGCTTAAAAACTGGGTGGTAAATTCCTGTTGAGAGCCAACCTCAGTTTCAGAAAGTGTGTGGCACATGTAGAAGGAAACACTGGGTTTGTATAAACACCCACAGAGTATTTTCATTTTTGCGCACTTCTGCATTGCTTTTCACTTGGTTTGAAAATGCAAATTATTAGGCAATTATAAATGTATCGTATAGTTTCCAGTTGCATGCAGTGATGTCTTCTGTGCTTTTTATGGCAGTTATATGTAATGGTTTATGTTTTGACCAATCACTGCATATAAAAATCATCCCATATTTCCATTAATCTGAGGACTTTAACTAATTTTGGTTTGGATTCCTTACATAATCATAATTTTCTATTTTTATGTTAATTATTGCTATTCAGCACTAAATCCAATGAAAACGCAATATTGCATACTGTTATTGCACATTCACTGCTGTATGTAAATATTTGCTGATGATGGTCATAAATACATTGTAATGTTGATGTTTGACACTATAATGCTGCACTTAAAATGACAATATTTTGTCTTTGAATACCTTTTTCTCTCTCTCTTTCACTTTCTCTCATACCTTTTTCCAGCAGTGAGTTCTTGTTAAATATGACCCACCACAGGAATGTATCTCCAGGTCTCTGCAATTTCACTGTTTCCCGATACATTTCTGCATGAATTCTGTGTAGTGACTGAAGTGTTTGCTTATTCATGTGTTCAGATGGCATCTTCATATGGTTTCCGCACCCGTTCGATGTGGATGAATCCAAATTATTGCATTTGGACAGACAGGCAGGTCCAGTAACCATAGTGATTGCAGGTTTTTCACCGTAGATGTGTTCAGAGCCGTTTGAGCAGGAGGTGTGTAATTCCAAGTTGACAAATGAAGGCCTATCTGAAAGATCTTGGATTAAGTACAAAATTATTTGAAGAAAGTATGTGTCGATCATACATCAACGACGCTTTGCGGTGTCTATACTGTATTGTTCTTATATGACTGGCTGTCCATAGTAGTCCTGTAATTCAGTACGTTATATTCCCCCTGAAGTCTTCTCTAAATGCTCCCACCTGTAAGTTTGACCTTTCTCTTGGATGAGGAAGGGATATTCCAGGCACAATATTATAATTGCATAGTATAATACTGAGGCCTAATTACTCTGCTGGTTAGGGTAGCTAAAAGCCTGGTTTGGACCAGTATGCTGAGGTTCAGTGTCCAAAATTCAACATGTGTGGGTGACCCGCCATTCTGGTCTTTTCAGGGTAAGGAATCCTAGGATATAAATCAACTTTCTTAGGTCCCTTTGTTGAGTTTTTAATGCTGTTTTCCTTTCTGTTAAGCCATTTTAGGTTATTAAATTTTAGTAAATTATTGTTTGTTTGCATTATCTGCTTATTTTAGGCAGAAATCTCTGGAATTTCATGAAAAGGGTTTCTAAATCTCCAGAGCTGGAAATACTGCACTATTCATTTTATCTTAATGCATAATACAAAAATAACTTTACAAGTTGCTGAGGTTTTAGGCAGTGTTAATTTTTCCTTGTTTTTTGACAAAAATATCCTGTAAATATCAATATTTTCATCATATATTAATTTTAGTCAGATTTAGACTGATTAAAATGGCATCTCATTTTAAACAGTGAAAATACGTTCTTTTTTGTGTGGAGTTTTTTTGCCTTTATTATGGCAGGATAGTGGAGAGCAGGCAGGAAACGAAGCAGGAAATAGAGGAGTAGAGATCAGGAAAGGTCCTCGAGTTGGGATTCGAACTCAGAATGCCTGTAGCGCAACAGGTTTTATACGTTGGCACACTTGCCTACGAGGCTATGAGAACCGACATGCACATCATTTTTGTGTAGAATGTTTGTTATTATGTTTATGTGTAAATATGTAATGAATCTTATACATACAGTGGGGGAAAAAAGTATTTAGTCAGCCACCAATTGTGCAAGTTCTCCCACTTAAAAAGATGAGAGAGGCCTGTAATTTTCATCATAGGTATACCTCAACTATGAGAGACAAAATGAGGAAAAAAAATCCAGAAAATCACATTGTAGGATTTTTAAAGAATTTATAGTTTTTGAACGAATTATTTGAGTGAATGATTCAATGACTCATAAAAGCACCAATGCTGCATCCAAAAAGGTACTTCTTTTGAACAAGCAATTACTTTGTGACCCTTAAAAAATGTTTTATATTGTATGAATGTATATGAATGTCATCTGAGTGTAATACATTAATTGTGGCCTCATGTATGGTGACTGAGAGGCGCTGCAAATGAAAAAAAACACATGCAAATAGAAAAAACACCAGCAAATTAAGAAAAAAGCTTAATCGGTTTGACAACACATGTTGCAAATACAGAAGCACGCTGCAAATATGCACAGACCACATCGCAAATGAGGGAACCGCAACAATTGACGAACCTGTCTGGGACATCAACATCTACTCTGAAAGGTGAGATTTTAGTTTGTTTTAACATCCTGATTATATGATTCCTTAGCGTTTTTGGATGTTATATATTATATTAATATACTGGATATTATATACAAATGAATGAATGAATGAATACATAAATCAATCAATAAATATATAAATATAAATACATTTTAAAAAGAACTTAAACTAGAATATTATTATTATTATTGTAACACTTTAGTATAGGGACCAATTCTCACTAATAACTAGTTTTTTATTAGCATGCCTATTATTAACATATTGGCTGTTTATTAGTACTTATAAAGTACATATTCTGCATGACCATATTCTACATCTCTAATCCTACCCAATACCTAAATTTAACAACTACCTTACTAATTAATAAGCAGCAAATTCGGAGTTTATTGAGGCAAAAGTCATAATTAACTGTTTGTTAATAGCGAGAATTGGAGCTTCAATTAAAGTGTGACCATTATTATTATTATTATTATTATTATTATTATTACTATTGGTTTAACAAAGTCTATTCTCATGACGTAGCCTCAGATTTAAAGTCATACGTTTCTCCTTTTTTGGGCCACTTCCAGCAGTGTCTCTGATTAATCCCTTTTCCGTAAAACATTTCTGTTATATGTCTTCACAGAGCACTACACAAAGCAGCATATTGTGCATTTGTATTTTAATAACACGCCTTTGAAACCACTTATTTTCTCTCTTAACATTTCTTGTGGTTACTTGGTTCACAGTATGAATTAAAGACAGGAAATGTTTTGAGCACCTCAGGTTAGCGCACTGAAGTACGGTTGCATTCGTGCTGCTCTGAAGAGTGAAGTCTTAGCCAGAATAAAGGGAGTGAGATTCCTTGAAACATCTGTGAATCTGGAAGAATAATAAGAGCTACAAGAAAACAATGCCAACTACCACCTTCTGCTCTCAAATGAAAACAGAAAAGATCTAAAGGAAATAATCCATTAGGAAACATAATGCAATGGATCAAACTTATTATCTGTGACTATTGTAGTTTTTGTGGCATTTATGCACATAAAAGATATTAAAGAAAAATCTTAGAATATATTACATTTCTAAGGTCAATCAAGCTCTGGTTAAGGAAAAAATTATCTTATGGCTTTGAAGAATTGCCCTGTTTTTGGAAATCCTATCAATTCCTAAGGTTGGTAATTTTTTAAAAAGGGGTTTTTAAGAGAAGTTTCTTATGCACTTATGCTTAATCAGAATGCAATAAAAACAGTAATATTGTAAAATATTATGACTATTTTAAATATATTGTAAAATGTAATTTATTCATGTGATGACAATGCTAATTTGTCAGCAGACAGACATTACCCCAGTCTTCAGTGTCACATGATCCTTCAGAAATCATTCTAATATGTTGATTTGCTACTCAAGAAACGTTTCAATGCTGAAAACAGTTGTGCTGCTTAATATTTTTGTGGAAACCATGATACATTTTATTCTTTGATTTTGTTACCTTACTCATTTTTTTAAAAAGTAGTGTATATTAGTGCCTAACAAAGGGAGTAGGACAGGTAAGAAATGCAAAAAGTAAATAATTTATGAAGAGGAGTTATGTATTCTGGCGTAACTGTTTAAATATAAGGTTTTATCATATTTTATAACAATACATTTAATTATTCATTTATTATAGATTAAATTATTTAAATGAGAGATTCTCCTGCCACCTGTAGGATAAATAATGTTTTTGTAATAGGGCTGTCAAATCGGTTAATCGCATCCAAAATAAAATTTTGTGTTTACATAATATGTGTTTACATAAATTTTGTGTGGTAACACTTTACTTGAAGGGGTGTGCATAAGACTGACATGACACCTTCATAATCATGACATGACACATGTCATGAATATGAAGGGTTTTTATGCATGTTTATGACAACTGTCTTTGTGTCATTCGCTCAGTTATGTAATTTTTAATGCAAAGATGACATTGTTTGAGATGTCTTTGTTATGGGCTATGGTTAGGGGTA